TCTTGGTCTGTTGACCCATAGTTTGAACTCCCCAACCCAGATTTGGTCCAGTTGATGCTCCAGCTCCCACTCGTTTCTTACATCTAAGAATCTGACGAACCCAAATCTACTCCCCTTTTTTGATTTCCTCAATGGGCTGTAGATGTCCAGAACTCTTCCAAATTTACGGAAAGTCTGCCACATGCTTTCTTGTTTCCAGTCATCAGGGAAGTTAATGAAGAAGAACATAGTGGCCTGGTTGTATACCCGACGATCATAACCCCAAATGTCTGGTCTCCTAGAACTGATCTCTCGTGCATTAATTCCTTCATACGCAGGTTGATTCTTTCCTCTGGTTCTGAATCTCTCCCAGTGCTGTACTGTCTCTCTGCCGCGTGATCCACCGCCGTCAAAGCACTATCGCTGTAACCCTCTCATCTCTCTTTACGCTGCGTAGCCTCCTCGGTGTAGCATTCTTGTATTGGCTTGGCTGGGTAAAACATTAGTGATAAGAATTTGCTTGCAAATTTATAGTTACTAGTGCTAGTTATTGAAAATGTGCACCATTTGCAGCAACATGTGCCACATCAATAAAAGTGTGCTTTCACCAACAACCATTATCATGCTAACATAAGGTCACTGGACTTGACTACCAAAAATGTGCACCCTTTTCAGCAACATATGTTACAGCGATGAATGCAATTTTCAGTAACATATGGTACGTTGGTGAAAGTACCAAGGTAGCATACAATGCTAATTTTGGGCACGAGACTCTATGCTCTATTAATTAGCAATTGTATTACATCAATGACTTTTCAATTTCTAGAATGTAGTGGAGCTTTCCACTAAAGTCACCGACAAGGAGAATATTGCTAATTAGTATTTTCACCAACATGTAATACAATGCTATATTATTTTGTTTTGCAAAAAAAATTAAATTTCATAAAATCTTTCTACCATTATTCTATATACAAGTTCCCTAAACAACAGTTGAATACATTCTTAATTCCATCAATATTTTATTTTATTAAAACCTTTTCATCATCACTAGCCTCAATTAATCATCAGCACCACAAGTAATTCTTTTACTTGAGCACTCTCTGATTGGATACAACAACCAAGATTGAGCACTCTTACAATCTTCACAAAAAAGAGGGCAAACATTTGACAAGGACCATACAATGGAGAAAGCCAAGTGTTATGTGATTAAGATTGATGGGCTCATATGAAGAAAC